GCGTTGTTTTCTGCAACAGTATTTTCCCCAACAGGAAGATAATAAATATGCCTTTACCAAAACAGAAGCATAAGGAAATCTGAAGTATAGAAAAGCAGTATCACTGTTTTTCTACCCAAAACACCTCCATGTGGTTTTGAAAACAGCTGCTACATTCTCTTCTAATCTGAATAATTAATAATCACCTTGTCCTGAATATTAATTTTTCTGCCCTGATCATCTTAAGTCAGTAATATTTAAGGAAGGATTTCTTAACCTCTCTCAAAAAGAATAGGACAAAAAAAGTGTCACGGAAAAGATCACTAGTATGAGACTGACTTGTAAAATCCCAGAAATGGAATTACACATAACAGTGCCTTCTGTATAGAAATAGGAATCACCACCCAAGGTTTAAAGCTGCCACATGCTTTATGTGATGTTCCAGCTGGTGACTCTCAGGGAAACGGCACTGTCAGTATTCAAACACAACCAACAAACATTTCTTGACACTGCAGGAAGCTCCTGGGATGCAAGAACAGCATCCTGGTCAAGTCTTAACTCAGGAGAGACCCATCTGCTGCAGAACTGAACTGTTCCATCACCTCTGAAAGTAGGCTAGACATACCCTTAACCCCAAATCAAAGTCTATTTAAGAGATGGAAAGAGTCCCTATGACAATATTGTATTATTTTTCTAAATACAAGGCTTGTTTTGTATTTAGTTTGTATTAGTTACGGACTGATGGGTGACAACCTGGAAAAGACAGGGCAGACACTGGTGTGAATGACAGTGACACCATACCCTGATGAGGCTGCTGTGCCCTGCTGTGTCACAGCACTCTCCTAAACATCATGTTGGGTATCAGGAGGAGATCCCAGCCCTTGCAACATCACCTTCACTGAGGCTCTGGAGGCAGCTGCAAGAAGAAAGAAAGGATTTGAAGTTACTCTCTCAGGTACTGGAGTGCCTCCAGTCATGGCATCTGCACAAACTATCCCAGAATCACTGCTAGAGAGGGGCCACCAGAGAATGCTGAAGAGATGCTGGCTTGCAGCCCTTTAACCAAGTAAAGGAAAAAAAATCTAGACAAATCAGGGTGAAATAAAGGAAATAAATTAAGGATAAGACAAAGCAAGAAAAAGCTGAAAAATACCATCCTCAGTGTATAACCAACCAGTGAGTGATGCTGGTCATGGTACAGGGGCAAAAACCACCCCCAATTTCCTGAAAGAAAACCCTGTCTGGAGATGGGTGGTCTGTAGACACTGCTTGGTGCAAGAACATACATAAAATACCAGTTGTTAAGCCCTGACACAATTCTATTTCAGGCTCAAAAGTTTCCACACCTCTCCATCCTGGCAGCTCCTTTCCCAATCACATGGTTTTGCAGACCCAGTAAAAGTTTTATCAAACATTTGTTTTCTAAAAACAGATTTCAGAGGAAAAGAGCAGAGAGTTGTCAAGAGGGAAAAAAAAATAACCCTACTTCTGTTAACTGAGAGCACAGGCATGGAGCTACTGACATCCCAATGATATATTCTCTGCTTTATGCCTTGAGTACCTTGTGTACAGCATGGCTTGCACGCAGGCACACACTGCTTGCCTGACTTTAAGTTCAATTAAAGTACTTCAGTATATTTTCCCTAGTTTTATGTTTAGCTATCTATAACCACCTTTTGGTACACAGAAGTTAGGAAATGGTACATTAATCTATTGCAGAGGGCTCCAACTCATTCATACAGCACATGGAAACCCATTTACAGTGTCCTTTTGACATATTCAACTCAAAATTCATTCAACATCTGGAGATTTCTGGGCAAAGTTTTGAGAAGTTACAAATACTTCCAAAGTAACCAATTACTTGGGAATTCCTACAGCTATTGCACACATCTGTGACTGTTTTTCAAACAAATTACTTGAAAAGCAACAATTTTTCAATCAGATGTGCTGCACAACCCAACAATACACAGTTCTCCAAGTGCCATTACTGCTGCTGAGGCAAGAGCTGAGGGGGAGACAAAAGTTGCAGGCAAACACTGCAGGAGCTGCAGCAGCTTGGAAACTGCAGGACCTCAAGCTCAGCAATGTTTCAAACAGAGCAGGGAGAATGCACCAGCAGATCACTGCTCGTGTGGCAAAAGCTGGATGGCAGAAGCCTACAAGTAAGAGGAATCACACCATGAGGTGACAAGAAAAATCCCTCAAACACAGTAGGTTCAGCCCAAGAAGCCTGTAGGTTTGAGGCTGAGAAAACTGCTATGTTCGTGCATTTTTAAAAGTAACTTATTATGAAACCACTGACCTGAGGCACATGAATTGTGATTCTCAACTAACCATACCTCATCAGCTTCCAGAGTTTAAGATAATCCACAACAGACAAAACTGAAGGAAACCAAACAAGTGGTAGGTAAGACTTTTATGATTATCATTATCTTCATCAGTATGTTGCCTGATAATTACCAGTTGGAGGTTACTACACTACAGATTAAGTGTATCACCGAAGCAGAGCTAGCTCCATTCTGAAAGCAAACTCCACCATGACTCTGTTTGATGCTCCATCAGAGGGGCTACAGCTATGTTCCATCAAGGAGCAGCTCCAGTCTGGAAACCATTCAGCCACACCATGCAGCACAGCAACCGAACTAACACGGCGTTCTGTGCTGGAGCTGGCTGCACACAAAGCTCCAGCAGCTCTGCACAGCATTCCCAGACCAGGAGCATCCAGCAGAGCCCACCTGGCTCCAACCTCGCTGGTGAAACCCAAGCCCAGCCCAAACATCTATTAGAGTGCACAAGCTGCACCACAAGCAGCTCAACCCACCCAGGAGCGATGCAGGTGTGCTGAACCGTGCCCGGGGAAGCACAGCCCGGTCCCGCGGCCATCTACCGAGCCCAGGGCAGGTCCGGGGCCGGCTCTGGATCCGGGCTCGCTCTGCCCGCCCCTCAACGCCCGGGCGAGCCCAGGGAGCCGGGCAGTGCCCCCTGCCCCTCCTGCCCTTCTCCCAGCCCTTCCGCGCACCGGCAGCGGTGGGGAAGCCGGGACAGCCGGGCAGGCCCCGCCGGGCTCGGGGGCGGCCGGACAAGGTGCAGCCCCGCGCCGCCAGTGCTGCCGCGGCCCCGCGCTCCGGCACGGGCAGGAGCGCACGCTGAGCACACGCGTCGGCCTCGCCGCCCGCGGCCTCGCCGCCCCGGCCCGCCGGTGCCAGCCCGAGCCTGCGAACAGCACCGCGGGCTGCGGGGGGGCTCCGTGCGCTGGGCCCGAGCAGGTTCTTACCGAGAGGCGGCTCCGGAGCCGGGCCCGGGGCCCGCAGCGGACATGGCAGCGGCGCCCGCGCTCCCCGCCCGCCGCCGGAACAGAGCGCGGCGCCGGCAGTGGCGTCACTGCCCGCCGGGCCGGGCGGGGCCGCGCCGCTGAGGGGCCCGGGCTGCCGTGTGGGAGCCGCCGCTGCTGTGTGGGGGCCCGGACTGCCGTGTGGGGGCCCGGGCTGCCGTGTGGGAGCCGCCGCTGCTGTGTGGGGGCCCGGACTGCCGTGTGGGGGCCCGGGCTGCCGTGTGGGAGCCGCCGCTGCCGTGTGGGAGCCGCCGCTGCGGGTCGGGGCAAGGCGGCAGCCCGGGCTCGCCCTCACTCACTGTCCCAGCTGTGTTTAAATAAAGGGCAGCCCGGCCCGGTGCCACCAAAGCCGCTCCATCACCGCCCTCCTCAGCCGGGCAAGGGAGAGCAAACGGAAGGAAAGGCTGGGGGGCGAGAGCAGAGCAGGAGGGATCTCTCACCCAGCACCGGTACGGCAGGCATGGCCCGGCTGGGGGAATCCGTTTAATTTACTGCGAGATGAATCAGAGTAGGGTAACGAGAAATAAACCCACAATTTAATCCCCCAGCCCTCCGGGCTTGCCGGACTCGCTGTATTCCCGGTTCTCTCCCTCCTCTCCCCAGCGCTGCGGGGGTCAGGGATCGCACGCTCCCTGCCTCCCTCAGGGCGTGGGCTGCTCAGGATTTCCCCGCTCCAGCGCGGGGTATTTCCCACGGGGTTCATCTTCCAGGAACAGCAGCTCCACTCGGGTCCCCCGTGGGGTCACAAGCCCTGCCAGCACACCCGCTCCACCGTGGGCTCCTCTCTGCACGCTCCGCCGGTCCTGCCCGGACCCTGCTCCAGCACGGGCTATCCCCGCGGTCACAGCCGCTCGGGCATGCCCTGCCCCGGCCTGGGCTCCTCCGGGGGCTGCAGGGGCATCTCTGCACCCCTGCCCACCGTGGGCTGCAGGGGCATCTCTGCTCCCCTGCCCACCAAGGGCTGCAGGGGCATCTCTGCACCTCTGCCCACAAAGGGCTGCAGGGGCATCTCTGCACCCCCTGCCCACAAAGGGTTGCAGGGGAATCTCTGCACCTCTGCCCACAAAGGGCTGCAGGGAAATCTGCACCCCTGCCCACCAAGGGCTGCAGGGGCATCTCTGCACCCCTGCCACCAAGGGCTGCAGGGGAATCTCAGCCCCAGCACCCAGAGCAGGTCCTGCCCTCCTTCCCCACCAACCCTGGGCTCTGCAGGGCTGTTTCTCACATATTCTCAGTTCTCTTTTTCTTTGGCTGCAAATTGCTCCTATGCAATAAGTGTTTTTCCTTTTTTATTATGTTATCCCAAAGGTGCTGCCACCGTCACTGATGGGCTCGGGTCTGCCCTGGAGCAGAATGGTTTTGGCTTCATTTGAATGGTTTTGGCTTCATACGAATGGTTTTGGCTTCATTTGACACAGGGAAAGCTTCTGACAGCTTGGCACAGAAACCACCCCTGCAGACCTGCACACTCCCTGCCTCCTCCGCTACCACAGCCTGGCCCTGCAAACCCAATGCATTGAAATGGTTTGTCACATCACAGCCACACAACTGGTCTGTATAAATTTCTCACATGCAGGCCAGAGAGTTCAGGGGGTTTTGTCTGGTTGGGTTTTGGAGAGCTCTAGCAGATTTTTCAGGAGTTGTTTGCTATCTGAAATTATTTATTCCTCTTGCCTTTTAGCAGGTAGAAGTTTGCTGAGCCTTTAATTTCAACCCTCCCAAGAGTTCATATGATGGTAAAAAAAAAAAAAGCATTGAAGCTGTTTCAGTGTGGTACCAAGGCTTTCCCTCAAGTATAAATACAGAAAAATGAGAAAGTTAAAACACCTGAGGAACACACTTTATTTACAAGAACTTCTGAGGATCCATTTCATTGCAAGGTAAAGCAGAGTAATGCAACATTGCAGTAAGAACAGGAAAGTATTTCCAGGAACAGAAGTAGCAGCTTAGCCTGTTTTTCAGAAATGCATTTTTACTGACTAATTAGCATAATATCTCCTGAAGTGGCCTTGGGGCTTTTCTCTCTGCATATCCTTTTCCTCAGATGCAGGTTTATGTTTGTTCCCTGAGCCCACAGTGCTTGCTGTGGAATAAAGCCTGTTACGTACCCATGGTAAAAAGCTAAACTGTAAACTCTTGCAAGCTTTCCAAGAACCAGTGGAAGCTCATGCCAGCTTTCCATGTAAAAATCTTTTTCATTTCCTGCAGGACTTGCCAAACTCCATCTAATGGGGCTTTAGGGTCTGTTTTGCTGGGAGCCAAGGGGGGAAACCAGGTCCCACCCTCTGCCAGCTGCGAGAGCTCCTCATCCAGAATGTGCTCACAGAACAGTGCGGATTCTGGCTTTTAAATTACAGAAATTGCTCCCTTCCTGTGCGCTGTGGCTCTGCAGATTCAGGGTGCATCTTTGAATGTGTCTGAGGAGCATGAGGTACTGGCAAGTGTTTGTTGTGAGTGCCTATAACTGGAGCAGAGCCCAGGAGCGGGAGGGAGATGCACTCTTACTGTGATCAGACTCTTTCCTCTGGCACTGGGCCTGGAGTGCAGGGCCCTGGCAATGGCCTTAGAAAAATAAACATCTTAATTCTTTTCCTCACTGGAACAAATAAGGACACAAGCTGCCTGAGGAGCTCCAGAGGATACATCTGAAGGACCCGTATCTCCTCTGGCAAAGCAGTACAAATATTGGTGCTGTCTTTGGAAAGGCTTGAGCTTATCTCTCCTGTTCTTGGGCAGGTGTGGGAGGGCTGCTGTCCTGCACATGAATAATTGGTGTCATAGGTCAGATACACTGTTCCTGTCATCAGCAGACTGGGACACTTAGGGAACCAACAACTGTTGTGAAAACAAGTTCCCCTCCCTGCCCAATTTCCTGTGCTAGATTGAGCAATTTGGGTCAGAAAAGTGTCTCATGACTGGTAAGAGAACTCAGCACCCATGGAAAACCACTTTGCCCTGGGCCCCAGTGGATTGCATCCAGCCCTGGGCAAGGAGTGTGTGAATTATTTGTCTGTCAAGTGTCCTGACCTAACATTTCATTTGCTGTAGATCAAGAACTAGTCAGCTTTGAAAGGATGGAGGAAAAAACAATGTAATGGCTATAATCCTAAATTAAATAAATAAGTACAAAGACACAGAAGCATTTTAAGCTTTTTTTCCTTATCATAATGCCCATGCTGACAGTAGCCCTCTGTTGTCTGGAGTGTCTGCAGTCAGTCAGGAATTACTAAACTGAGTGCACGAGGCCACTGGCTGGCCAGTTCTGCTTTCACACAGGAAGCCAGGGCAGACCATAGTGCCCTTTGGCTATAATGCTGATCTGGTGCAGGGAGGGGGAGAGGTGTGCTGAGGGACTGCCAATTTCTCTTCCTTTCCTTCCCTACTTTACTGACCCAAGATCTGGAGGCAAAGATTCATAATAGCTGCTCCCAGACATCTGTCAAGTTTGGATCCCAGCAGACCATGTGAGCTGCTAACAAGGGATGAAGGGATCAGAGGTGCAGATCTCTGACAGCAATGGAGGAATTCCATGGACTATGTCCCTTACAGCCACTCAAGAGCTTCATAAGCTCAGACTCTCTTCACCAGACCATGTAAGCTGCTTAGCAGAGCCACCTCATGATACTCAGAGCTCCATCTGTTCTTCCAGGTCTTTTAGAAGTCCCTTACAGCTCTGATACTGTGAGAGCTGGGCAGGCAAAGGAGCAGGGATGGTGCTGTCTGGACTGACACAATGGGTAATTTTGGTGCACTCAGTTTCTAGCTGCTCACTGCAGAGGCTCAGTGACACACTTATTTCATGTTAAAGCAGTCATCTGGGCTGTTCTCAGTGCCCATGAGAACAGCAGCCTGGACAGAAGGAGCTGTGCTGCCAGATTACTGCAGGTTGCAGTTCTGCCCTTTGCACGTGACAGAAGAAAGGAGCATCCATTCTTCTGTCTAATAGGAAAAAGAAAATGTAAAATCCTAGTCCTCTGTTGTGTCCCTTGGTGCCTCTACTTGAGGAAAGATGAGTGAATAATTCACACCTCTCTGTGTGCAATCAGAAATGAGTGGCCCTAAGAGATCCTAATGCCATCCTCTTGATGAATGGTGCCCTCAATCATCGTATCAGTTGTTTGCCTGGAGCATTTGCGACTCCCTCTCATGCTTTTCAGGTTTTCTGAAACATGCTTCTGAAACTTCTTGGTGAGGAAGCAGTAGATGATGGGGTCCAACACACAGTTGGTACTCAAGAGGCACAAAGTCACCTGGTGAGCATCGTTGAGCTGTTGGCGCAGCTCGCAGTCTTCCTTCTTCCACTGCTCCAGAACAGTCAGAGTCCAGGGCAGGTTCACGATGTGATGGGGCACAAAGCTGATGATGAACACAGCCAGCACTGTGCACACCATCCACAGGGCCCTTTGCTTGACGTGAGCGCTCTTCCGTGGATGCACTGGCTTGGAGAACAGGGTCCTGATAATGACAATGTTCCAACTTAGTATCAAAAGGAAAATGATATAGAAGAGGACGCAGATGATGACGTGAATGGCGAGAACAGCTGAAACACCACTGGTGGTGTCGTAGCGCTCAAAGCACCGTGTGAAATTCCTGGAGCCCACCGTCTCCTTGTTAGTATTATTGTCAAAAAGGTAATACAAAGAGCTGCCCACTATTATGATCCAGATAGCTGCTGAGAGGTAGATACCTCTTCTCTGTGTGGTCAGCTGAGCAGCTTTAATAGGATTAGTCACAGCTTGGTAGCGGTTGTATGTGATGACCATCAGAAAGGCAACAGAAGTGTAGGTATTAACAAAAAACAAACAGCCAGACACGTTACAGAGGAACTCGGGCATGATCCAGTCTCCATGGTTGTGGTAGTAAACAATCCACATTGGCATTGTAATTAAGAAGAGCAAGTCAGCTACTGTCAGGTTCACCATGAATATCTTGATTTCATTGAGTTTCTTGGTGGGGTAAATACGGCTGAAAATCCAGAGAACATAGCAGTTGGCAACAAAGCCTAGAATGAAAATAATGCTGTAGAAAACAGTGAAGAGGCTGTAGCGAAACTCAGAGTCTATGACAGGGCATGGAAGGTGTAAATCAGCACTGCCTTCTGCACCTCCTTTGCCTTTTCCAGACATCATGGTGTTGAGTGGCCACGTCTGAAGCTCAGTTGCCAGCCACAGCTTTTCTTCTTACCTAAAAATAGACAGCAGAAGTCAAGCTGATTGGTTTGGCACCGTTGCTAAGCCAAACCCCACCTTTCTTTATCAGTTGTCTATGACCATAGGAGTTCTGCTGATGCCTTGGTTCCAGCCACACACCTGCCCTGTCTCCTTGGTCTTCTCTTTGATCGCATTTCCACAGCATACAAACCTCTGTGTCAAAATCCAGCATTGTTTGCTGCTCATCTCTAATCTTAAAATACTTTTCTGCGTGAAAGTTCTTAGATAAAAGTAATCTGTTACACTGTCCTGTCTCAGGCTTCTTAATCTTTTACTAGAATCAAGAGTGTCTTCTATGACTAATCCTCTCCCTGCATGTGGTTCTTCTTTCTTCCTCTGCCATCTCCCACCACAGTTCCTGATACTTTTTAACTTCTTTATGGGTATTTTAAAGAATTCCAGATGTGAAACAATATGTGGTAAAAACCTCTCCCAGAACCCCAGAGGAGTTGGAAAAGACCTTAGGAGAACACCTGGCCCAGCCCCTGCTGATGCAGATTACCCTGAGCAGGTTGTGCAGGAGGGTTTGAATAACCCCAGGGAAGGAGAATCCACAGCTTCTGTGGGCAGCCTGTCCCAGGGCTGTCATCTCACAGCTGAGAAGTTTTTCTCATAATCAGTTGGGACTTCCTGTGTTTCAGTTTATGCCTGGTGTCCACATCCTGCTGCTGGGTACCACAGAACAGAGTCTGGCCCTGTCCCCCTGACCCCTCCCTGCAGGCACAGACAGGGATGAGGTCTCCTCTCAAGACGTCTCTTCTCAAGGATGAACAGCCCCAGCTCCCTCAGCCTTTCCTCACCAGACAGATGCTCCAGTCCCTTCATCATCTCTGCAGACCCACTCCAGGAGCTCCATGGCTTCCTTGAGGTCCTTAATTATAGACTGAGGAGCCCAGAAGTGGCCACTGCACTCCAGATGTGGCCTCACCCGGGCTGAGTAGAGGGGCAGGATCACTTTCCTCACTTGCTGCTCCTGAGCAGGTGTCCTCCTGCCTCAAAACATTCTGGATCCTCCCCAGCGGCAGGCAGTGCCAGGAACCCCCATCCCATCCTCTCTGGAAGGGTCCCACCCGGTGCCCCTGTGCTGTTGTTCCTCATTTACACATATGCAATTTTCCTCTGCAAATGGGGAAGTCAGCTGGAGCTGGAGCTTGCTGTCCCTTTTTCTGCAGAATTGCAACTCTTGGTACTGCTCTCCAGTTGGTAGGAGAGGAAGGCAGCACTCATCTTCTTGAGGGTCCTGCCCTTCCTCACCCCTCCCAGGTCCCCTAAGGACACAACAGTTACAAGATTTGGACCTTGCCAGGCAGCTGCATGCTGGCAGTGCTGAGTTCCAAGTGTCCTTAAGCTCAGTCTTCCAGGCACGGTCTGAGCAGGATAGACACACAGCCTGGCAGGGCTCAGAGCTGGCCCCAGGTGACATGTGTATTTCTGCTCCTTCACCTTGATCTCTGCCACCCTTCTGAGAGCCCCCTGATCTCCAAAGAGCAGTAGATTATTCAGGTGGGCTTTGTCACAGGGAGTGTAATGTTTGATGCACTAGTCTGACATTAGAATAATGAATAAAAACCCAATAAGTCCTAACTACCTAAGATCATTGGAAAACTTTTTTTTTCTTTTTTTCTTTTTTAATATGTGCCATAAATTCACACTGCTGTGACTATCTGCAACACCAGCAAATAGTTCTGGTGCTTAGGGCTGGGGTCTTTGCAATGAAAGGTGATCTATTTCTGTGGCACCAGACCACACCAAGAGTGGGGGAAAAATCCCCAGGTAATGCATCTCTTTAGCAGGAGTCAGGAGGAGAAGTGTTTACACCCAATACATGGGCACAGCTCTTGTTCACAAAGTCCCTTCAGATGGTGCCCCAGGGCACTGTCCACCCACACCTCCATTTCTGGCTCTGCACAATGGCATGGTGGCCACCAAACCTTGCCCAGGAGCTCTGGTGAACTTCACTGTCTGCAGTCTGCACACCAGCTGCCAGATTTAGCAGATGGGGTGGAAGAGAGAGTGAACATGCATGTCCCTCCACAGCAGAGTCCTGCACAGAAGCTTGAGCCACAGGGCTGTGCTCTGAAATGGAGGGGTGAGTGTGAGAACATGCGCTGTGACTGCTTCCAGTCTGCTGAAATCTCTGGCAAAGGTGATCTGTGGGAGATGGCAGTGCCTTCTCCTGGCCCCAGCACCACGTAGAGCTCAGCTATCTTTGCATTAGAGGCTGTGCAGTGCCAGGGTCCTGCAGGGAGTCACAGGAGAGGTGTCCTTTCCCTCTCATGAGCCAAGTGAGATGTTCTGCAGAGCACAGCTGGAAGGGAACATAGCACCATTCCCCATGGAATTTACCCAAAGCCCAATTCCCTCTTCAGCCTGAGGAACCCAGGCTGATGTCTCCGTGTGTTTGTGACTGCCCTGAGCCCTGGAGTGCTCTGAGGGGCTCTCCTCAGCCTGTCCCTCTGAGGCAGTTCCCCTTTCTCTGAAGCCTTTTTGTGCTGCCTGTGCCAGCAGAAAGGCAAGCAGGGCAGGGTCTGGGGGCTCTGGGTCTGTTCTCTGCTGCAGCAGCAGCCTGTGCTGCCTGACCAAACCTCCTGAGACCTCCAGCCCAAGGCAGTGCCTTGTCCACAGTCCCCCAGCCAGTAATTCCAGGTGGTTTTTACCATCAGCTGCACTGGAAGCAGGGCTGAAGGTGGAAGCAAGCAGCAGGGTCAGGGCACCTGCTGATCCTGCTCCTGGTCTATAGACTGCCATGGGCTGTGCCCTCCCAGTCAGGATCTACTGGCTTACAGATGCAAGCAAGCTCTGCCATCAGCAAGAGTATATTCCAAGAGGAGTAGTACTAATAAAATATATTTTTGGCTTACCAGAGATGAAAAAAATCAGCACATTATGTCCATCTTCAGCCTCAGTAGCAGTGAGGGTTTCACTGAGGATGCTTGGCTGTCTCCCAGATGTTATTTTCCCTGCCCTGGGGCTGGAGAGTCTCTGCACTGGCAGCTCTCAAGAACAGGGCGCCAGAATGGGAGCAACTGTAGCATGATTGCAGAGTCACTAGAGGAGAGGAAATGTGTGACATCAGCTAAAGGAAATGAGAAATAAAATAAGCTGTAGAGGAAAGACAATTAGCCACAGCAAAGGTCTGCAAAGTCCTTAAGGCTTTTTCCTCAGAGCATCTCTGCTTCTGATGATCCTGAAAGAGGGCAAAACTGGAATTTTCTTCTAAAGGCAGAATAGGCACTCTGGGTCCGCAGTGAGATTTGGGAATAGACAACTTTTTGAGCATCTTTCTTCCAAACAGATGAATGGCAGAAGAGCTTCCATTTAATAATTTCCAAGAAAGGGACAGGATACTCATATATGGACACGTTCGTTTCCTGGTGCTCTCCTTCACACTTGTGCTGGAACTAATTCAGGAACTCCACCATCCCAAGCCTCCCTTTATCTCAGGGATATTCAGCAGACAGAGACACCGGAGCAAGGCAGATTGTTACCTGTCCCATACACCATCACGTTATGGCCACTGTTACCTGTGGCAGCCTGAAGCTCACTCAGCACAGTAATGCTGATGGTGGGGTGCTCAGAGAACCAGTGAGGAGCAAAGCTGCACTCAGCCCCATGCCCAAGCTGTAAATCCCAGGCTGTGATGTTATCCCATGGTGATGATTAACCTGTCCTCCATCCCTGCCTCTGCTCTTACACCTGCATGCAGCACAGGCGTGAGCTTAGAGCTGTCACCATCATATTTTCTGGAAAAATCCCTTCGCCAAGATTTCTCTCCTGGGAAGCTGAGAAGCCTCAGAGAAAAAGGAAAACAATATTATCTCATTTGCTTCTCCTGTGTTTTGCTGCTTTGGAATGTGGTTGGAGATTGTTTCATTGGTTGCATGTGAATTGTTTTTACTTATTGGCCAGTCAGGGGCCAAGCTGTGTCAGACTCTGGAGAAAGAGTAATGAGTTTTTCAGTAGTATCTTTTAGCTTTCTGTCTGTATCCTTTCTCTATTCTTTAGTATAGTTTAGTATATTATTCTATAATATATTTAATATCATATCATAGAATAAAATAATAAATTAGCCTTCTAAGAAGATGGAGTCAGATTCATCATTTCCTCACCTTCGTCGGGGGTCTCAGAAAATGCAAGATAGAGCAAAGACCTCTCACCTGACACACCTTCAGGAACCAGAGCCCTGAGTCTGGTGCTTGGGCTCACTGTGAAACACACCAGAACTGCCACAGAGTGGTGTCCCTCCCCAGGACAAAGGGGTGTCTGAGCCTGCCCCAAGGCTGCTGAGCAATGGCAGGGCCCAGGCAGCAGCAGCAGAGGCCAGTCTGCACTGGAGATCCTCTGGGAAGGCTGGGAAAAGCTCTCCTGGCTCTTTTCAGGAAATGCCCCCTGTGGCAAACATTCCATAGAAGGTCCTGGCCATGTCCATGCTGTGGGGGCACCAGAGACCCCCACGGTGTGGCTTCATGTCCCGGGAGCCACAGGGACAGGCTGAGGGTGGTGTGCCCTGGGCCTCACCACTGAGGACACCAGCCAAACTTCTCTGAGAGCAAGGAGCTGGCACAGACCCTGGGAACATTTTCAAGTCACACATTTTTGTTGTTGGGCTGGTGAGCCCTGGCTCAGAGCTGGGATATGGCACTCTCCTCACCAGCAAGGGAGAGGGGGCACTGACAGAGGGGCCAAGGTGGACAGCAGCAGGGCTGCTCTGTGCTGGCTTTTGGCTCACCTGGCCTCTGGAGTCCCAAGGTTCTGGGCAGCCATCACCATTCCAGAACCCACCCACTGTGGGTCTGTGCCATTCCTGGATGTCTCCAGGCAGGGGCAGGCAAAACCCCAGCACCAGTCTGAGCTCCTTTGCCTGGACTGGCTCTTCCCTGGCTCTTCTCCAGAGGGTGCAGGTGGCCTTTCCCAGGGCCACTACAGAGGGAAGCACCTGACATGCACTTGAGCAGTGCTCTGAAGGTGTGATCCAGGTGCCAGGCAGCCCCAGGATCCCTAGGGGAGCTCCAGCCAGGCTGGAGATGTGCAAGGGCTCTGCAAACTGCAGGACAACCCATGTCCTGCTGCTCTGAACCCCACTCAGGGAGAGCTCCAAGACAACCAGAGGTCCATGGACACCACAGCTGGCACCACAGCACAGGGTGGCCAAGGTATTTGAAGCCCCCTGAGCAGAGTGGAACCTCTGCAAGGTGAGGGAGCCCCGTGGCACCTGAAGCACATGGGATGGAAGCCTTGGCAGGGTGGGCTGCACGGGGGCTGGCATGTGGAGCAAGGGACAGCCAGGCTCTGTCAGGCCACATGAGGGTGAGCCGAGGCTCCTGCAGTGATGCCCCAGAGCTGTGCTGGGATGGAAGCTGCAGCCATCTCCTTCCCTGTGCCACCAGACATCCTTCCTCTCCCCTTCCCATCAGCTGCTGTAAGGATGAAGGAACCTGACCTTTCAGGGATGAGACAGAGCCCCAGCTCTGCCCTTTAGGCTGCTCCTGGGGGTTTAGACTTAAAACCAAACAAGATCCTGCCACAGAGGTTGGCTGACAGCCAGCCCAGGTCTCTTGGGAGAGCAGCCAGCAATGTCAGGAGCAAGGGGAGTGCTCAAAGGGGATGTAGCAACACTTGACAGATCTTGGTTCACTGTCCTGCCACAACCCAGCCCTTAGAGGAAATGGAAGCCCAGGGGGTTTTGGACTGGGGAGGAACCTTCAAATGTCTTCATCCTTCCTCTGCTCAGCCCTGCAGCATGGCCATTCTGCATCAGCAGGCTCCTTTGCCCCCACAGCCAGCTCCTCCCTTTTACTCCCTTCCCACCTGGGGACCCTCTTTCCCTGCTCTCCTGGCTCTGCTGCCAATTCTGAGCACTCCAATATTAAGACACATTTTGCCAGTGGAGGCTGGGCTCCTGCAGCACTCCTGGCAGTCTGACTGCCCTGTGCTTTTCACTATTTCCTGCTCTTCCTGCCCAGGGAAAGCACACACCAGCTGACAGCTCTGACAGCTATGCAAGGCTGAGTTGAGGACAAAAAGCAATCTTGAAAATTCCTTTACTTGCATCAAGCCAATTTGCTACCTAATAAAAAATAAATAAACTTCTCTTACTCTGATTCCCATAGATGCTGCTAAGGAGCACTGATAGTCCTTCAGGTTGTTGTATGGCTGGATCCCAGAGCAGCTGTTCCAAATTCCACTCTCTGGATAACCCCACTCAGGCTGAGTGCTGAGCAGGGGCTGCTCCCCACGGGTCTGGCACCCAGCAGCATTCATGCCATGGCAGATGCCCAGGGCCTCCTGTAAGCCCCACCTGCCTCTGGCACATGCCCTTGAGGCAATTTCCTCCTTAGATGTAGCCTGGTAGCAACATACTCACTTTGGATAACCACATGTAAATTTCAGAGGGATGGGAAACTCTTGGTTTTATAAGCAAATATCCAGAGATTTCTTCCCAAGAGCAAGCTACACTGCGTAGGCAGAGAAGAGCTCTCCCAGGAGTGCAAATGGAGGAGCAGCATTTCACTGCCTGTCAGTGACACAAGCAGCAAACACGGACAAGATGAAACACCAACATGCAGCTTGTGACAGCACCAGCCACTGGCACACAGGTGAGCTTGATCCCTGCTAGTTCCAGTCCCCAGGACACATTCCTGAGTAGCAGGAGGGTCTTTGAAGAAGCATGAAGTTCTTTAGGAGCTGCAGCACACGCTCAGCTCGTGCTGTGTTACTGTCTGTGAGTTCCCACTACTCACAGAACACTCCACAGAATTTTCTTTTGCTCGTTGCAGGCTGAGCACAGCCTGTCCCCACCTCCTTACCAACCCTGCAGGAATGTGCCCCGGAGCTGGGCTTGCTCAGCAGGAAAACACACCAACCATTCCACTCTGGGGCAGTGGCAGGGACACTCCCTGGGCCCCCTCTGACAGTAAGGCAGGGCATGGCTGCTGCAGCTGGCTGTGCCACAGGGATGGCCCAGACTGGCAGAGAATGTCACTGCTGGCAGCTGGACAGCCTCCCCAGCAGTGGGTGAGGCAGGGCAGCCTCCAGCTGTTTGTGGTTCCCAAGCCCAGCCCTGCTGCACGGGGCAGAGGGCTGAGCTCAAGGGCCGCTGTGTCAGGATTTGTGTGACAGCCCCAGGCTGTCACAGCTCTGCTGGAGGCAAAAGCCATGTCCTGCCTGAGCTGCCACAGCTGGGACAGGGCTCCTGCTGCTCCCAACTGCAGCGAGACACCTCCTGCCCCATCTGCCTGCCCAGCCTGGGCAGGGGCTGTGCACAAGTGGGATGAGGGACCTGCCCTCCTTGAGAGGCTCCGAGCACTGCCTCCTCTTCCTCACAGGAGTAAGGTCCAGGCAGGGCTGCTCACCTTGCTCCACAGCATCCAAAGCCAGGGTCGTTGTCACTCAGGGTGGGATTGGACCTGGGTGAGAGCAGCCCCCTCCCACAGCCCCAAAGGCAGCAGCAGCAGCTGCCTGACACACTTGTCAGAGTGCTCCTCACCCCCGTCCCTGTTCCCTGGCATGCAGAACAAGGAGTGTCCCCACACCCTGCTGGGAGGGTGGAGATGTCTCGGCAGCCCTTGGTGCTGTCTGAGAGGCCACAGCTCAGAGATCCACGGGGGATGCTGAGCCAGCCCATGGCCTGAGCTACGCAGACACAGGAGGAGCTTGTGGAGCTTGGGGAGGGAGGCCTGGCAGAGCAAGCAGAAGGGAAATTGTGTCTTACCTTGGGCTCACAGAGCACCTGCTCCAGCTCATCACAGACCCCAGCCCAGCAGGTCCGTGCTGCAGGGGGACAGACCAGCAGGGCTGAGCTGTGTGTGTGCTCCTGCCTGGAAGAGGCTCTGACAGGAAAGAGGGCGTGGTGCTGGCTCCCAGGTGAGTGACTCACTTCCCGCTTGGCACTTGTGACCTGCTCAGCCCTGCCCTGGCTGCACCCTGGAGCTTGACACCAGTTCCTGTGGTCCTTCCTCGGGCAGGCAGTAGAAGGGACACAGTGGCTGAGACTGCAGTGAGGGGATGGCACACTCCTGTGGCACCTGGTGCCTCACTGGCCAGAGATGGGGGAGCCCAGCCCTGAGCAGCCCCAGGCCAGGGGTGCAGAGGTGGTCCCAGCTCAGCAAGGAGGTCAGTACCCTCAGAAGTCTCCTCTGGGCTCCTCATTTCCTTCCAGGTCCCGGGGTCAGGAGGCAGCACAGTGAGTACTTGTTCCAGGCTTTCCATGATGAGTGGAGATTCATCAGGCAAAGTACCAGGAAGAGCACTGCTCTGCTCTGGGAATTCCCCAAATCAGAAAACATCAGCCAGAAAATACTTCAGGCAGGGGCAGCTCATTCCTGTACCCCTTCTGCAGTACTATAAAGCCCCCCTTGGTCCTTGTGCTCCCTCATCCTGGGAAGAAAGGCTGTTAAGGGACATGGGGACCCACTCCTTCCTGCTGCCACTGGCACTGCTGTGCCCAGATTCCACATGGGCTCCCCCAACATATTCTGTGGCACTGGCATTGCTCAGGTCATGGGCACATCACCCACCTGAGTCACTTATAACAAGAAACCACATGTTTTTCTGTCTGCTCTTCACACCCCATGGGTTGTTTAACAAAGAAATGCTCTTGGGGTTTCCTTGCTGGTAACAACTGGCTCTTATTCAGTCAGGAAAGGAAGTGTGAGGCTTTTAAGACAGTCCTGAAGGACAGGACAGTCACAACCCATGGTGCACAAAGCACTGCTGCCAGAAGGAGCTGGCTGGCTGCATGCCCTGGAGCTCCCCAGGCACCCAAGTGCAGAGCTGCAGCAAACATCCCAACTTCCCAGCCCAACAACCAAGCTGAACCATGGCCTTTCCCAGCCACGCTGGGGATTAAGGCAGTCTGGCTCTGCAAGGAGCACAGCCAGAGAATGAGGAGTGTTCATGTCCCTTCTGCCTCCAGGCTGGTGACACCACACTTGGAACAGCTTGGGCAACTTAAAAGGGATGTGGAGAACTGCAAAGGCAGAGAGCTGGCACCACAGTCTGAGCTTGGAGCACAGGTTCATGCTGAGAGCAGCAGCATCTCAGCACTGACAGCATTCCACTCTTGCTATTGCATTTTTTAATAATTCCAAGAAAAAAAAACAGTAATTTGGGTAAAAATTTATTTTACATACAGACCATTGCAGCTTAACTATTAATCAAGAGAAGTTATTTTCCTTTATAGGAAGTGACCAGCTGGTCTGAGATTAACAGAAGTCTAAGCCTGAGAGCTGGGATTTTAGTTTGGAAATCAGATCTTGGGGGCAGCTTCCTTCCAAGCACCACTCATTGCAGTGAGGAGCTGCAAGACTTAACTGCAGGCCAGCTGCACTGCACAGTGCTGGAAGCATATTCCCAGTCAGTCCAGATCTTTCCCAAGCTGAACCTGCTGAGAAAGATGGTGCCTGGAAAGGTTTGGATGCACCTCCAGGATTTTGGAGTTCAGCTCTCAAACTAGAAACAGAAGTGGTGAAACAGCACAGTCTGTGAAGTACAAAACACCGAGTTACAGGGCAGCAGACACACGGGACAGCAGGGATGGCAGGGACTCTCCTAAGCCAAGAGTTCTACGTGTAGCGGGGCCCTGGCCGGGGTCATTCTCTGGCCCTATTTCAAACAGACAGAGTACAAAAAATACTTCGACTGATAATTAATTGTACTGGAAACAAACAGTCTACTAAAAAGCAAATCTTACTCTAGGTGCCAATGAGTCCTTAAAAGCAGAGAAGGGACTGAGGAGCTGCACTTGGGCAGTGCTTCCAGGATCATTCACGCTGCTCCATTTTTACTTTGGGAGGTCTCAGGAAGGTCCTGTTTTTCTTTTCTTTCTTCCCCTTTGTATTTGCCTGGAAATTTCTCCAACTGTCAACACGACCATCCCGACTTTCCTGGGAACAACAGGGAGGAACGAGTGAGTTAACAAGTGCAAGAGCCAAAGCAGAGGTAGCACACAGCAGTTTGAGGAGATCAGTGGCAATTTCCCCTTATCTAACAGGCAGACACACAGACACTGGGAAGAGCCAGAGCAGCACAGTGCACTGGAACCACAAGTGTGCTTACACACACCAGTACAAGCACTGTGCTGGATTCTTGTTTCAGAAACCACCAGATTGGGCTGGGTGGTCCTTACTCTCTACAGAATACCCAAAGGAAACAAGAAACCTCTCAAATGGATGTTCCTAATCTGTCAGCCCAGAACATGGCATGTCCTTCCTGTGCCTCAACTTCTCACTCTCCTGCTGCTATAGGGAGAACAGAGAAGGGAAAAGTACTGCTGTCTTCTCCCATGCTTCTTGCTCAAAGTCTCATCACACTGACATAATGAGAAAAAAGGCCTCTGGTGCACTTCTCTCTCTACCCTACCTGCCAAGCAGCAGAAACCTTTCCTGAGGAGGAGAAAATAAAACCAAAACAGAAACCAAATAAAAAAACAAAACCCACAAAAAACCCCAAAAAACCAAACAAACAAATAAAAAAAAACCTGAACCCCCAAATCTCCCCACAAAGCCAACCTATGCTCTCTAAAGGCTGAAGATTCCACAGCAGGACAGAACAAGTCCAGGAATGATGCACTTCACAGCATGTGATCCATCCACTCCAGGCCCATCTCTGCAATACCAGGGCTGCACATGGGCTCTGGCTACAGCAGCTGTCTGCTTCCCTGCCCCTTTTCCATGGCAGGATGGGAGAGGGCCCAGCACCAGCAGGGATCTGGATGCTGGGCCAACCAGACTGCTAAGTTCCACAACAGTCCACACAAACACTTTCCAGATTAGGTTTTAATGGTCACCAGTGACCTGAGCTAAGCAGCAATTCTATTTCACAACTAAAGATAAGAATGAACTGCTGACAGAGATGAAAAACAGTACAGCTCAATTTACCAGACCTGTTTCTGCATAGGTGATACCAAAGCCCTGTTGATGGGCTGTTCTCCACACACATGAACAAGCCCCAGGCTGGTGCAGATCTATTAGTTCTCTTCAGGCTTGCATACAAAAGGTCTCTCATCTCTCTAGGGGCATTCCCTGCAACATGGACAAGAACTGCTGAGGCCTATTCTGTAGGTTCAGGTGCTGAATACCTCAAAGTTCTTCTGCCATTCTCGTTCTCGTTTGGCTTTCTCCTGTGCTTCAATTTCCTCTTCCCTCTGCCGCTTCCTAGAAGGGAAACCACAAAAGTTATGAACCCACAAGCATCCACTTTAGAAAGCAAGGTAATACTTTCAAATCATCTTGCAAAGCTCTTCTAATTTTTTGGCAGATTACAGAAGAGATAAATACACACACCTAAGACAGCACAGAAAATACAATTTGGTTTCAAATTTGGAAGAGCACTGAGCAGAGAAGATGGTTGGGCCCCACTGACAGCAAACATACAAATAAGGAGTTGGCTTCTCTTGCTCAGCAAAACAAGCTGGACTTCCCATCCAAGAAGCTGGACATCACTCTAGTGACAAGTCTCTAAAACTGTTGAGGGTACACGCTCTGAGAAGCTCAAAAGCACTTCAGCATGCAAAGTACAAATTACATTTTTAAACCCCTACTTTTCACCTGTAATCAAAAGCAACATCCTGCAGCCATCTCCCACCTCAGTGACCAGCACAGAACCCTGCTGCAGGAAGTGTACTCACAGTGAGCACGTGATCAAATCACCTAAAACAGTTCAGGATCATACATGCCAGAGGGTATTTCTGGCATTTAAATAAAATTAAAAATCAATCCTCTGCAAGCTAACAGCAAGCAGAATTGTGTCACAATTTCACTGTTGTGGCTGGCCTCCACATGTACATGTAAGATAATACAACCATATAAAATATAGTGACATCTTCAGCACAGGAGGGCAAATTTCCTGTGTGCTCTTCCCAAGCACAGGGCTCTACAACCCACAGGCTACTCAGAGACATGGCAGAATCCACAGTATTGGCAATCAGCTTGACAGGACCCTTGTTAATCTAATCCAAGGCCCTGCTTTCAGCAGGAGGTCAGACCAGATATTCTCCAGAGGTTCATTCCAATTTAGACTATTCTAAGACTCTCTGATCCCATATCTTCCCTGAGGAAGCACAAGTGGAATGTCATTTATACCTTTCATGCATTTCTTTTGCTTCTCTTTCTTTCCTCTTAATTTCCAGTTCAGCAAAGAGCTTCATTGTCTGTTTGTACACAGCTTGTTTGAACTGTAAAACACAAATCCAGTATTAAATAATGCCTGTGAACACAGTTAAAGTCTGTTTTATATACAAATGTATGAAGCTACAAAGAAAGCAAACCTCAGGTGTGCCCACATAACCCCTATCCTGCCCTGACAACAGCAGCAGCACACAGAGAGGTACAAACCACTGCTGATTAAATTCTGGCCCTGGCACCAGGAAACAACTGCATATTAACCTCATATTAGTCTCATTTTAATTTGTATTCATGAAGCTGTGCCTAAACAGAACTGTTCACTTCAAACTCTCTTATTCTTGGGTTAAGTCTTGCATTGTTACATTTGACAAAAAAGGCAAAATGGTCACTGTTTTAGAGAGTAATTTTCCAGCAGATACTTCTTGATGTGTTGTAAAAATCTAGCATTGGCTTCCCAGTAGGAAATCAGTATGCTTAAACCAATCTTCATTACTAAAGAAGAACAAGAGACTTCTGAAAAATGAAAAATAGGATGGTTATGGGGTTACTGTAGTGATATCAACAGGAAGAAATCACTTTCCAGGAAAAAAGGGGCAATGAGACTAATGAAGGCAATGTTTGGCAATCACCTGTTACAGCCCCTCATGTGGCTGGACTTCTCCAGACTAGAACCCAGGTAAGAAGAACTAAGTTATGCCATGCCCTTTTTAATACAAGTGGTTTGCTGCAGAACAGCACATCTGTCCCTCAGTACTACATGAATGACACAGACAAAATTGCTCTCATTAAAAATCAGAAGCTCATTTTAGCCACACTGCAGTGAGTGCTTCATGTGCCCCTGTCAGCAGCAGGAATGTCACAGTTCCAGCAGTCAGAAGACAACAAGAAATTCAATTCAAAAAGGAGTGCATGATGCACAAGCAATGAAGACTTGCTTTGATCTATATAATCTCACAATATATTTACTCTTTACACCACAGTGAAGCTATTTTCCACAATACACAGGTTCACCTGACACATGATACTCTACAGTGGCTAAGCAGAATTTGTTCTCCTGTAAATGTAAGGGTTTACAACATTAGCAAGCCTAATAAATACTTCTGTACTGGTTTTGAATCTTAATTCCTCAA